GCTTAAAATTATTTGAATGACTGTTACCTCTACATCGTTAACAAATATATTGCAAAAACCTTAAGCTTTTAGATTTACACTGCCCAGTCACTCGCATTAGAACTGAAACATTTTCAATGAAAAATGTGCAAAAGCAAAGCATACCTTCAGCCTGAGTGAGAACTTCCTTGTCACTGAAGCTAATGCCCATTTGCTACATTAGCTGTGAAAATGAGTCACTGTAATAATTGGTGATTTTGGCCATTTTCTTCTCATTGAAAAAGCAAGAACACTTGTAGAGACCATTGTTCTTTTTTTTTTTTTTTTTTTCAAAAATGCCAACAAATGACTTTTTTTTCTAGCACCCAAAGTAAATCAGCTGGAAGAAAACACTTATGAAATCACGTGGGAACCTTTACAGCCGATGAAAGGAGATTCCATTGTTTACATCCTTCAGCTTGCTGCTGGGAGAGAGTTTGATCAGGTACCTTTTAGTTAACATAATGCACTCGAGGGTTTTTTACTTTGAAAAATTACTGCAGAAAAAGGTGTCTGTACTTGAAGGTTCAAATCCTGTTTGGTGATGCTGGTGGCAGGGATCCTTTTCATTTCAGCAAGGGACTCAATCTACGATCCTGACTCCCAAGGCACTTCATTCAGCGTCTCGGTCGCTTCCTCTCAGTGAGGCTTTAAGCCCGTGATGGGTGAGGACAGCTTCCAGTGTAGGGTCCTGCTCTTCCGCCCTTTCACGGCAGCAAAGGTTGCCCCAGATTAAAGATCATCAAGTTTCAGTTCCCTGTTGAGCCTTTGCTTGTACTGTAACAGCAAATGACTGCGACGGTGGGCTTGAGAGTCGTTGAGAGAATTGGTTCTCTAGAAGTAGGTTAACACTGTTTTATCCCGTTCTCCCAGCGTTTCCCTTGGCTCTTTTGATCCTTAAATCGTACGGTCTGTGGCACCGCTACATTTGTTAGTCATAGAGCGCGCTTGCCCCGCTTCAGTGGGGGAGCTATACAGAACGATAGTTGTGCAGAATGATTCTTTTTGGTTTTGTCCTGAGCTTCAAAATCCAGGTCTGCCGGCGTGGGCCATAGCAGGAAGCTTTGGATTATTCACAAGAAAAGGAATCGTAAATTCTTCAGAAATAACAGCTGAGATTAAGTTGGCTTGAAGAGAACGACTTCGGGCAGCGTCCAGCGCTGCATGTGCTCGTAAAGCAGAACGGAAAGTATCGCGTACCGTTTGTAAGACAAATCCCGTGTAAAGCGGTTCTCTCCCGTCTTCTCCTTCTGACCAGGTATACAAGGGACCAGAGACTTCCTTCCGTCTCACAAGCTCGCAGACAAACTGTGAATATCGGATCAGAGTCTGCGCTGGCCGTCAGTCCCAAGACTCTACTGGATCACAAGAACTGTATGGACCTTACAGTCCCAGTACCGTGTTCTCATCTCAGAAACAAGAGCAGGTTCCACCGTGCGCTAATACGAGGACGGAGTCGGCAGAGTCTAAGAAGACATTACGTGACGAGCGCTTCATCGCTTTCGTTCTTCTCTGCGGATTTACAGCGGTTGCTATTTTATTTGCCGTTGTTATTCAGTACTTTGTAATCAAGTAGACGAGAGCCTATTCAGTACTCAGCTTTTTGTACAGAAGCCATTTCGGGTATTTATGGTTAGTTCTAATTAAAATCCTAGCTGGAAATGTATAGTTAACGTGCGTTTCCACTTTTGCTGCTGGCTAACAGCGAGGCTGGGTTGGCAGATCCTTCCCAAATACTGAACACAGATTTCTTGTAGAAAGGGTAATCCTGGGTCCTCTGCAATCAGGGTTAGCTGTTAATAAAACAGCAAAAAAACTGCCTTACCGCGCACGCTGGTGTATGCGCGCACTCTTCCTCTCTCCAAATTCAAAGCGGGGCCCCTTGGCCAGTTAGAGAGAGAAGGCATTGATAGAACAAGTCCTTTTCAAGTACAACTAGAGCAGTGGTAGCCGATCCGCAGTGTTTAATCAGGTATTGTTGTAGTTTGGTATACATGAAATACAGCAGCACAAATGCTTAAGCTTAGAGCAGTACTGCATTGCAAAACATTACTAGAGCATACCACATTTAATATACTGTAGAAGGAAAGCAGAATATTGACTTAGTGATATTACTACTTTACAGTTACTTTACTATTTCGGATTCAGTAATAATCATTTCAAGTGTTAAAGTAGAGGGTGCCAGCATTTTTAGAATTTTAATCAAAATGCTAGACAAAACGTGAGCAGGACGTAATGTATATACAGCAAAGGCGCTCGTATGTAACATTGCAGAAAAGGCCCCTTTTGTATTGTACATTTCTGAATGAAATGCTTTCTGCTGTTGGTGAGCAGCTGTTGGCCCAATCCACATTTCACTCTCAGTGCCTGAGAGAAAAGTAATTTCCTGTGCTTCTGATTAAATCTTTGCAGTGTTTTCAGAAAAGCACAGGTATTGTCTTTAAGGAGAAAGAGTGCATTTATGATAAATGTTACACTATTTGGCTCAAACTGAGCAAATGTTTTTGTACTATTATTAACCTAAAAAGTTCAAACTGCTTTTGGATGCCCTTCTAACTTAACCTGAATTATCAAATTGTACATGAAAGAGCTCTTTTTAGATAACATTTCTACAATGTTTTAAATGACTTGCTACCCCAGTGGTAGCAGCTTCACATTCCATTGTTTTCTAGATGGGAACGTTCAGCCTGCGATGAACTTTCCCTGAAACTCGTCCTGTTTGTCTTGGGGGGATTTTTTTGTGGACACTGTGCACTACATATGACTGTTCTTGTTAAATCTGCTTGCGAATACCTAAAGATGAGTCTGGCAGCCGTCTTCTTTATATCAAATATTTCGAAAGCTGGAACTCTCAGATTTTGAACGTGTTCCAGAATGGGTCTTCCCAATAGCATTTGGAATATGCCATAGAAAGGTAGACTTAGCGTATTTTGCAAAGACTACGGCTACACTTTATATACATCAGAGCGATGCACTTGTACGTGGAAATGTTGGATGTGATAGTGCTACAGGCTAAGTATTTCCAGTAATTAATCACTTTAAGGGTCTTTCTCCTATGGCAGTTGATGAATAATGTTATAGTTTGAGGCATTGTGTTGTATTTCAGATGTGGAAAACCTAAATTATGACATAGTATCGCTTAATACTCTTAAAAGTAGATTTATGGTGCAATCTGAAATTAATCTTTTCAAAATGTACTCTTCATTTTGTACTCTATTTATTTTGATTAAAAGTCCTGGAAAAGGTATGTTTGAATGTATTGTTCTACTTGTAGCAGAACTTTAAGTTAATCATTTATTATATCATAGAAATCTCTCCCTCCAGTGTTGGAAAGAGTTTTATAAAGATATTAGTCTGTAGTTTGCAGAAGAGTTTACAATCTGTCTTTACTTCTTTTCATAGTCTACTTTTAGCAGATAAGACTGCCTTCAGCAAATCTCTATTGCCAAAGGGTTATTTCTTTAACTCTTAGAACGGAGTTGGTAGAGGCTTATTTGGCAATAATATTTCTGATAATTTTAAAAGCTAAATTAGGGTTGCAGAGTAAATACTAACAAGTCATGACTCCTAAAAAGTGAAAGTAAGTTCTTTTGTAATTGCCACGAAATATTCACGTTTCCAGAAAATACCCGTGGAAACCTACCGCAATACAGATTTTTACATCAGCTGTTACCCATTCCAGAACGATATACCCTAGTGGCATTAATGTATTAGGTATCCAGTTTTCTTGTATCGTAATTTTGAGGTGTATCAAACTTAATGTTAAAGCTGCCATGCATTGTATTACTAAATTGTAACTATCAAACAGATAATATATTTAATACACCCAATAAATAATACAAATGTATTCAAATTTGACTACAGGGTGGTTGTGTGTTTTTTTCTTTTCTGGATGTTAATCTCACTCCGGAGCAGTCATTTGTGTAGTATGTAATTTAAGGTGAAGAAACATGTTCAGCCTTGTTACTAAGTGTCGTTAAGAGCTGTCTTAAAAATCTTTCTGGGAGGAAAGCTATTTGTGGGTACCTCAGCGCAGCACTGTCCTCTTCCAGGAGCTGTGTCAGGCAGAGGGACCCAATGGTGCGATTTCTCGAACCCTTTTCCGCGAGGTCAGGAGGGTGTCGGGGCGGCCCCTCGGCTGGCGATCTGGACTCCGTGTTGGCTCTTTTGCAAACGAGGGAGATGGGCAAATGCCTTCCGCTCTCGCTTCCCTCCCCAGCAATCGCCCACACGTGGAACTGGTCCCTGGTCCAGCTGAGCTCTAAAGGCAAGGATGGTTTCTCACCATAGAGCTTAGCAGAGATGGGGTCGGACTTTGCAGAAAGCTGGGTATAGTTCAATAAAGAACAAGATAAAAGACTGAAAATGAGGGCAGCGGCTCAAGAGATGGGAGGGGTGAGCAATGAATCAGTCTGCAGGAAGAAGGCGATGCTTCATAGCCCCACTGAATGAGAATTTCTTACCGCTTTCCTTTCACATACCTTACAGATTGTATTTCTTGTGTTTATTTGCTGAGAGCAAGCAGCTGGCCTGGCTTTAGCCTCCGCTTTCTCTCTCGGCTTCTGTGGGAAGAAAGTAACTTGAATTATGTTTCACAGGTCTGTGATTAACAAGATGTCTGGTCCTCAAACACAGAGACAAATGCCTTCACGGGAGCTTTGTGGCCAGCTGAGGCCGATGACGTGGCTGCTAAATTCACCGAAGAGAAGAGCCCAGCCTCCCCCGTGCCCGCTCCTCTGTGCGGGAATAACGTGAATCGACTCCAGCCTTCCTAAAACGTTCCAAACCTGTCTGGGGAAACACCGAGTAGCCAACAGGACAGCCTTAATTCTTGTTCCAGTCTCCATGTGCACCGTCTACCCAGGTGTTAACCCACAACACTGCTGGCAAATTGCTTGGGTTGCGAGAATGGAGTCAATGCTGAGCAGTTGACGTGAAGGAACCAAGTTCTGTACCTTGAAAAGAAACCTTTTCACTCCTGGTCAGGCTCCTGCAGCGCCGAGTTCGCTTGTGGTGCGGGATTTTGCTCGTCGCTTTCCTGTATTTGTGGACATGATGTAAAGCATGGGGTTTATAGAAGCCTTGAGGTAGAAGAGCATGGTGATGAGGCTGAAGTACTGCCTGAGGTCATACAGGATGACTTTGCTCTGAGCGAAGACGATTCAGCCGGTGTGGAACGGGAGCCAACCCGGCACAAAGGCCAAGACTGCAAAGGAAGAGAGCGCACTTCAGTCGTCTCGAGCAGAGTTTATTTTGCCTCTTTAAACATGAGCTAAGTTTAACCCAGCAAAGACAAGACCTGCTGCCTTGCCCAGCTGCTTTTGTGCTGTGGTTACTGGTAATCTCAAGCAACGAGGACTTAAGGTTGCGCACAAAATTAATTGTTTGTAATTAAAATAGGGCGCTCTACACCCATGTTGTCCGGTGGAGATAAAGGAATCCAATCAGGCTGGGGCAAAAGCAGCCTGTGCTTAAATCAAGGGCTTAAAAAAGGCTCTTGGCCTGGAAATCTGAGTCACCGTTGGCATCCTGCGATGGGTATCGGAGGGGAAGGAGCAGGGACACGGGAGGTGGGGGGCCCCTCTGGGCAGCGGAGGGGTGGAAAAGGGGAGCAAACTGGACCAGGAGGCACTGAGGAAGAGGATGCACAGGATAAGCAACTAAAACCTCGCAGGAAACAGCCGGTGGATAGCTGTGGTATGTTCTGCTGGTGGTATCTCCAGTCGTGGGTGCTGCTGCTTCCCTGCTGAGAAGGATTTCTGGGGAGGGGGCTTGGGAGGGAGCGGTGGGAGGGATGGGGAGGAGGGGAGGGGACCCAAACCCTCCTGGTTTTGGTGTCTGCACCAAGGCACAGGTACCAGCTGGCACGGGACAGTAAGTAAGCCCGGACATGTTGGTTGTTGCCATCCTGGACAAAGCTACAGTCACTAAGCTTGAGAAATTTTACAGGGGAAATGGCTTTAAAACCTTTCCTTGCCCCAGCAGGGGAAGTGCCTGGTCTGGTTTTAAATTTTCCAATTTCCTTCATTTAATCCCATGAGGTCAGAGATGCAGGGGGGTGGACACACAAGGAATGCGATCTCAAAACCACCAAAAGCCACGCTGATCTGCTTCCCCACCGTGCAGTAAGATCCCTAGCCTGAATACCGTGTGGCCAGGGCCTCCCCTTCTTACCAGAAAGAGCCAGGAACACAAATTAAGTGTAAATCCATTGATTTTAAGTCTGTGTTAACCCTGTGTGTTTTTTCTCCCTCCTCTCCACCATGCCCCGCATCGCTACACGCCCCGTGGGAGTGATTAAAGGCAGCTCTTCAGACTGGGTTTCTAAAATACTCTTATGCGGCATTTTGACAGTCTGCGTGTGGGACCTTTTCCTGCCTGCTGCCCACTCCGCCGGAGCTTTCTGCAGATGAGGCCGTACAGCAGAGTCAAGCAGAGCATCGGCAGGAAGAAATAAATGGTGGAGACCCAGGTCATCGTCTCGAGCAGCCCCGTGCGCCCACGTGCTCGATGGACCTGCGCTCCCGGCTCTCCTGGGGCAGGCTGCCATTGGGGTGTTCCACCCCGAAGAGGAAGAGGATGGGGCTGGTGCCAGGATGACCCGTTTCGCTTGGTGATGGTCGCTTTGGATCTCAGAGGAAAGCTGATGGCAAAGGACCTCTCCACGCTCACCGTGGTGATGTGCAGGATGGCGCAGTATGTGCATGTTTCGCTCAGGTAAGTAGAACTGTAGAATGATAGAATCATTTAGGTTGGAAAAGACCTCTAAGATCATCAGTCCACCATCAACCAACGACCACCATGCCCACTAAACCATGTCCCAAAGTGCCACATCTGCACGTTTTATTGAACCCCTCCAGGGATGGGGACTCCCCCACCTCTCTGGGCAGCCTCTTCCAATGCTTGACCACTCTTTCTGTGAAGAAATTTCTCCTAATATCCAATCTAAACCTCCCCTGACGTAGCTTGAGGCCATCTCCTCTCATCCTATCACTAACTACTTGGGAGAAGAGACCAACACCCACCTCACTGCCCCCTCCTGTCAGGCAGTCGTAGAGAGCGATCAGGTCTCCCCTCAGCCTCCTCTTCTCCAGACCAAACACCCCCAGCTCCCTCAGCCGCTCCCCACCAGCCCTGTGTTCCAGACCCTTCCCCAGCTCCGCTGCCCTTCTCTGGACACGCTCCAGCCCCTCAGTGTCCTTCTTGCCCTGAGGAGCCCAAAACTGGGCACAGCATTCCACGTGCGGCCTCACCAGCGCCGAGTACAGGGGCACAATCACCTCCCTGCTCCTGCTGGCCACACCATTCCTGACACAACTATGGATGTCAAACGAAGAAAAAGGCGGATCTTCAGAGGAGTCCATGCCATTTCTGACACAGCTGTGAGTCGAGACGGACCCCATGCCTGGTTTCAAAGCCGAGGGCAGGGCTGGCTTCATCTTCCCCTGCGACAGAAACCTGAGTCGCAGTAAGAGAGAGGCATGTTTCGAAGCGAGTGTCCAAGCGCCGATCGTCTACGCAACGATTCTTACGTGATCCGTTAAAAAAATCAAAATTATTCATAACCATTTAGCCGATGAAGATAAATACCCAAGTGCTGATCAGTCCGTTTTACAAGGAGCAAAGGAATATTAGATTCACATATCCAGCATTTGCCCGACTCAACCTTTTAAGAACAATATTGACCACTGTAAAACAATATTTACCATGCTGATATTTACCCTTAGCTTTGCAGCATTTGGAAAAGGGCCGTTTTTTTGCATTTCCTTTCAAGTTCTGTGAATCCCACTAAGCACGTAGAGCCGGGTCTGGCGGCAGGGCTCCGGATCGATCACGGAGGAGCTGCAAGGAGAGGCCAACCCCGCACCAACAGCCGGACGGGAACAGCCTTTCGGATGCGCTCAGCGGTTTGCCAGACCCTTCCAGCACTTGCGAGCACCACGAGTGGAAATCTTTAGGCTGAGAAGTTTCCTCGAGGCTCCACCGGGGCACAGGGGGGCTCGCAGGCGGTCACCGCAGCTGGCAGACACGGGACGCTGCACCCGCAGGACGGCTTTCCTGCCACCGGAGACGACGATGCTGTTGTGCCGGCAGGTCCCCGGCGTGCCGGCGTTCCCTGGCACGCGGCACAATTTCTGAGGAAATTGGCTGGGGCCGCTTGACTTTTTGCGGCCATTTCCCGTGCTGCCCATTCTGTGCTCATCCATCTTCCTCCCTCCACCTCCACACCGCTAATGACACCGCGCTAAATACGCAACCCCCCCTCCGCTTTTCTCCTTAGCCTGCGAAGAGGGCCTGCAGTTACCAGGTAGGGTAGAACAGTTCTTTGACACTAGAAATTTAATTAGCCCATTTGGGCCAGTTTTACATAATTTCCCATCGCTCTGTGTTTACTTAGGGCCTTCCCCACGCGAGCTCCTCCCCAGCATATGCTGCCGAGTGAGATATTTCTACTGATGGTGCTTTAAGGACATTATTAAGACAGGATGAGAAAGCCTTTATTCGACCATCAGTCTTCAAAATGCGACAGTCTGACACTTAGCCCTGATTTACTTTCCACTTCAAAAAAGATCAGAGATTATGAGCTGGAAAGCACGGGGGAGGCGAGGGGAAAAGAGGCCAGCACGAGGGAAAAGGCAAGGAAAGGCTCCGGGAAGCTGGAGGTTAACTGCACACAGCTGGAGAGAGCAGGGATACTCGGCACCGGAGAGGCTGCGTACCACAGCGGGATGTGTCCGGCCATAGTCCTCGGAAAATCCTCCATAACCCAGGAACTGGGGTGCTGGCAGAAGTGAGCGGGGTACCCAGTACAAAATAAACCTCCTCCCTTCTCCTCGGAGTCCTGCTCTTTGCAGTTTTTCTTGTCCAAAGAACTATTCAAAAGCCAGCATTTTGTAGAGCCAAATAGTGTGGGATTTGGGCTCGAAAGGTCAGTGCTGAACAGTCACTGCATTGTGTTGACAGATCCCCGGTTCTAACGCCAGGCAGATCTCTGCTGCCATTTGCAAGAGGCAGAAGCGCTGGCTGTGGGTTTTTTTCCAAGAGATTTAGGCACCTGAACACCTCAAAAAAAGAAAAGCAGTCTGCGTGCCAAGGCTTTACTTTGCTGCACCTTAAACACCTCTACGAAACCTGTCTAAGAAGAAATCCCCAATACTTAACTCCGCGTTGGTGATTTAAACGGTGCAGCCTGAGCGGAGCTAAGCCCCGGCTGGCGCACGCTCACGCGGGCTGGACAGCATGCGGCTGGCATCCCTATTTATTCGAGCAGATCGGTCGCAGCTGAGAGACAGTTGCCTTGGATAAACGCTCCCCATTCGGCGGTGGCAGACGGAGTCGTCGGCGCTCGGCTTGGCCACGCCGTGACCCAGTTTCCTGTTTTCTGACGCTGAAAGAAACCCCAGTGTCTGGGCAGAGGGGAAGGGTGACTGCTCTTGCACTCGGCCGACGCGCGGTGCCTCCGCAGCCAGCTGAACGCAGGCTTTCACAGCACGGCCGTGCCCCGGAGGACTGGCAGCGGGGTGGAAGCTTTCACGGCCAGGCAGACCCGCTCCAGCTCAGCTGCCCGCACAGAAGGCATTTGTGGCCTCGGGGACAAATATCTCCCCTGTGGAAAGTGGCTCGCTCCTCCTCGCCGCTGGTTTCCAGGCAGAAATGCTACAAGTCGAGGTGTTTAGAGAAACATTTAGACCCCCGCAGCCTGGAGTCACCGCTGCGCAGCAGGGTCGGCGGGGAAGGCGGTCACAGCATGGACGGGAGGGCTGGGGGGCAGAAGGGTCTCTGCCTGCTCTTGGGGGTAAACCCAGAGCCCTTCAGCAGTGCAAAGTATCTCTCTTTTTTACTGCACCGGGAATAAAGGCAGTGATGGCAGACAGCTTGAC